GAAGCTAATAATTATTCATGGATAATTAAGTCCATTGTAAGTCCTCAAGTCAAGTAAAAGGGTGAACAATGACAAAAGGAATGCTTTAGTCCGATTTCATTTGTATCAGCTTGGGACTTGGCTTCTTAAAACTGGACGATTTGTGGTGGACTTATGATGGACTTTAAAACAATATTGGGGTAGGCCTTCAGAACGGCTCAGTGCGAATGAAATGGCTGTGGCTATGGCATACAAGTCCATAGGAGGTGGCTACCAGGGGCTGCCATAGGCTTGCACACTATTCCTAGCTGCAGCCAAAACATTTGGACACAGCCCACCTTTCATTTTGTGTCTCCCAGTGCAGCAGCACGTCCCAGAGGCTGGTTGCCGGAGGGAATTCCCGCTGAAGTCGCTCCCCGGACTCCGTCTGCAGGGCGAGGCAGACCGCCGACTCAGTCCGGGGCCGGTCAGCCTTGACAAGCTCCAGCTTGCAGTTGTTGGGCAGGTTGGCATAGCGGACCGAAAGCTGGGGGTCCAGGATACTGCGCTGGTGTCTGCCAATCAGAGCATATCTTGCTATTAAGGGTCTGTGATGTGAACTGTACTTGGGAACATACTTCGTGGGACTTTCTACTTCTGTTACATGTTTTAAAACTGCTGCACTTGACATCCCTTTTTAGGTTAATGTCACTGCACTTTTTTAAACATTTAGAATTTTCCATTCATTTCCTGGACAAATGAAGACCCTGTTGCTCTGACTTCATACCTGGGACTGTTCATTATTGGGTTTTTCGGTTGAAATTACGAACTCAAACATTTGCTCACTGAAAACATTCCTCGGAGCCACACAATGGAAGACTTTGAAGGATTGTGAGAAGCCCCAAGTAAAAATTCCTCTGGAGACAGGATTAATATACCAGAGAATCAAATGTCCTTTTGGTAATACTTGGGGAGGTCAAATTGTACTGTTAAGTGATTGTCTCATCTATTCTTTCTTAATTGGCATTAAGACACTCACTTCAAGTTATGTTCATCAGGATTGTATCCCACTTTACTGCAGACATTTTCAATGACCTTTGAAGGAAAAAAATGGATAAATTACTGTAAATGTGACAGAAAAGAGAACGTACACCCGGTATAGCAGTATGCTACAGCGTAACTTTATTCCTCAACAAGGTAAAAGAAATTAACAATTTCATCCAATAAGCTGTTTTTGTATAATATACAACAGGTTGCACAGTAGTTGATTTTTTTGGTACTTGTCCAACCAATAACACTCGGACATTAGCTTGTAAATAACCTTAAAGGGTAACATTATCAGCTAAATCATGAAAAAAATGTACAGTAAACAGATAATTTGATGCACAAAGTACTCTGAAATAATTGTACATGTAAGTTTAGTGATGGTAGTAATAATAATAATAATAATTTTTATTACCAAAAATGGGTCACTCGGGTGACATTCCCATAGGAACATGCACAAAATTTTTCAAACTTTACTGTCCCATAATTCACTATTCCCTCATCCAATCTTAACCAAACTTTGCATGTTTTCCTTTCAGACCCTAATCTATCATCTCTGAAAATGTGGACCGTAAAAATTTTCCTCCTTTTGGTAGTTGGCGCATTAGGGAGACATTGAAACGTTGAAATCAAAACTCCCAAAAAACTTCATGTTTTTTGACAGAACTTTCAATGAGGAATTCAGGCAACTCAAACCCTATCCAAAAATCGATGACGATAGTGAGGTCCCTGGGGCTAGAAATCAATTTGACTGCATCCTGTCTACAGGGAGTCAGGTGACCATGTGTTTGTACACAAAAATGATCCATGCAGATCATGCACATGACGCATGTGCAGTAAGGCCAGCCCATGTAAAAGACTCGATATTTTCCCTCCTAAAATTGAATTTTTCTAGACATGTTTTTTGCTATCAGATGGCTAATAGGTCACTGTAGGGCGTAATTCCTGGCGTCCGTATATGGAACTCTTTCCCCACCCTAAGGCTTAGCCCAACCCCCTTTGCCCTTTTCGGTCATAGGCTGTTGTTAATTGTAATAACATGGATGGTTAACAGGAAGAACATCATGACTTGGCATGAAAATAATTCTAAGTTACAAGACTGTGAACGAAAAAATAAACGGAAACAATCATCCATTAAATTGAGAAACATGTCGGTTTTACTAAAGACTGGATATAATACCTGCAAAATGCGCGTATTGGCTGTTACTTTCACATTTTGTCTACGACCATTTGGAAGTAAAACGTTCACGGTGGCTGCCATCTTGGATGTTCACTGGCTTGGTCTATCAATAATGTTTTGATTTCTATTTTAAAATAAATACTATTGTTATATTTATATAAATATTGTAATATTCATGGCTTGCTATATTTAATTAGTTCTTAATTTCCCTCTAATTAAAATTTAACCTATGTAATCTTGTAGTAAATTATTATTGTAAATAATAATATTGATTGAGGATACCCGGGAAACTTGGTAACCTGTACGTCGACTGCTTTGATTTCAGTACAGAGGTACATGTACTATGCATGAAGGCCGAGGTAGGTGCAGACATTTTTGGTATCCATAAAAAAAGAACACATGCTTTTGACAAGAATTCAGCAGAGATCTGCCTGTTGTTTGAATTTCTTTCATTTGAAGGACAGTTATGTGATTGGGTTAAAATTAGCTCTACTGAGTGGAGCGTTAGTATTTCTCTCTTTCGATTTTGGACGGGATCGGTCATGTTAAATATAAATTCTGACATGTTTGAGTTGACCAAAGTCATGAAACCTTTTGAGTTTTGAATTTACTCCAGCCACTTGCCGCATGCTTGCGCTTAGGCCTAACAGTAACAGGCCCAAGCATCATTTCATTCCTTGGTGATTCAGTATGATGGCTGGAAGTGTCAAAGCCATCGACAGGCAGTCAGTGCATCGGATCTGCTCTGGACAGGTTGTCCTCAATCTAGCCACTGCCATTAAGGAGCTGGTGGAGAATGCACTGGACGCTGGTGCCACAAACATAGGTAGGCCTACCTGTATGATATAACATTATCGACTTTCCTGCCACATTTGCAGATCTAGGATATTGATAGTTGTCATGTCTTTACATTGAACTCCACATGTGACAATGTGAGGGAGGTTTGGCAGCTAGCAGCGACATCCCTTTTGGCTGAACGCTTTCTCTTATTGCTACATAGGCCTAGTACATGTACTATATATGGATGGTGTTATGGATGGATGTGCTACCGTCAACCACAGTCGCACTGTGCCATCAGCCAGTCCTGTACAAAAACTCTGACTTTGCTTTCCCGTTTTAAAGTGATGAATTAGAAAAGGCAGTCAACTGCTTGTGACAGGATTGCCAGATTTCCTAAATCGAGCAATTACACAGATCTACACGTGTCCAGCATGTAATATGGGTAATTCCAGAAATTAAGGGTCCATTTTTTTGTGTCCCTGTCACATCTGACAAATGATTTTATAAGTTCAGAACACATTTTCTAATTTCAAAGAGTGATGAATTAATTTAAATTACCTGCCAAACAAATAGTAATAGTTCAAAATCAATTCAGGTGATATTTCCATGTCAAATAACAAAGGTCACATGTAACAGGTACACAAAAATGTCACACTTTTGGACCCCTAGTTTCTGGAATTACCTCTATGCAAATCAAATGGAGTTTTTGCAAGGGCACTGATCATTCTGGGGTAATGGCCATCAAGTGTGGATCCCAGTATCAAAGGACTTCGAGTCCATCACAGATCATCCAGTCTGGTTCCAAGTGACACAGCTGTTCAAATGAACTTGGACAAAAACATTCATTTGTCGTTGTCCACGCTGTTACTTATGACTAGTCTTGTGAGAGGACTTAGAGGGACTTGTGAAAGGAGTTTGATGGAATTAACCACAACACTGATTCTCATGTTCCTTATTTTCTTCAACTTCATTGAACTTGTAGACATCCGTCTGAAGGAACATGGCTCAGATATCGTTGAGGTTACAGACAATGGCTCGGGAGTAGAGGAGAGCAACTTCCAGGGACTAAGTAAGATACTGCGCTGTATAACAAGTTAATTTATTTATTTTGTCATTGATGCGTTTGATGTCTGCCAATAAAAACCGAGGATTCTTGGAACTGCTTCCCAGCCCTACAAGCTTGAGGAAGCCTGTGAAATGATTGAGGTCTGTTCTGTTTTATAGGTGGAAGAAAAATTCAAGGTATATTCAAGGTGGAAAACCACATAGTCAGGCTGGCAATGAAAAAAAATCTCAAATAGCATGTCAACTGAGGTGGGAGTCGAACCTGGGCCACAGAATTAGAAGGCGAGAAGTGTACTGCTTGTCTGCGGAATGAAAATAAATGATTGTCCTTAATGCCAAGCCTTGCGTTCTCTTGTCTGCTTTCTCACTTCATCATTGAATGTCCTTTATGATTTCTACTCTTAATCTGGTACCTTCATAGCACTCATGTACTTACTTTAGCTACTGTACAAACACTCTATGTGTAACAACACGCATACGATGGTTGTCAAAGTGAGAAATCTGATTATCGTCGCAAGATCCGACAGGTCAACTCTCTCCAAGGTTAAGCAGCCTCAGTGTCTTAGCCTACCAGCCACCACAGGATCTGAAAGTCCCATACTTCAATTGGACTAACTTTCCTTGTCTCGGAATTGCCGTGGATTCTCCTGTTGGCTGCTCGTTGCAACAAAATCATTGATTTGATTTAACAAAATTAAATTTGTACACCCATTGTAAACTTGGTGCATTCAGCAGGGTTGGGTTTGATGCACAGTTTTTCGGTCTTGCTCCATTACAGCCCTGAAGCACCATACCTCCAAACTGAGGGATTTCTCAGACCTCACCAGCGTCGACACATTTGGATTCCGTGGGGAAGCTTTGAGCTCCCTGTGTGCCCTGAGGTAATTAACAAAGCAGAAAGTTGAATATAATTGAAGGGACGCTGAACAACCAGGTTGGTTCAGTTCAGGGGAAAAAGGGCCTCAACATGCTATGGGCTCTGCATGGTTGTTTCAAAGTGAGGCTAGTCTGGTATCAAAGTGAGGCTACACTGGCAAGCCTTGGCCGCCTGTACAGATTCTTACATAACAGCTAAACAACAAAACTTGTCACCATTAAATTCTCTGTTTTGGAGTTTTTTGATTACTTGTTTTGCACTTACTTTCTACAGCCCAACTCATATGTAATTTGTATAGTTCAATATGCTTTAACTTCTTCACGCTGAAAGGACATAGACACAGTAATATTTACCGTTGGCCTAACAGATTGGAATTTCTTTTTCGGTTGTGATATTCCAAAGTGAGAATGGTTAAGCCTGGATGAGTACACGGACAGTTAAATGACTGAACTTGCTCGTTGTACTGTATTCTTTTGCGCACTAGTGATATGACCATCGTTACCTGCCACAAGTCGGCAAGTGTGGGTAGCAGGTTGGAGTACGACCACAACGGCAGGCTGATCAAGCAGACGCTTTGTCCAAGACAGGTATTTAAAACAGTTCAATTCTCACCCAAAATGTCGTTGTTTGTGGAACTTGCCACTATGTCAGACTTGAACCGGCCAAGCTTCCAAGCATATATGCTGAGCTCAAACAGGGCTTTTCTGAGGTTTTTCCTCACTAACTCTGGAAAAGTGCTAAGTATACAGAAACATTTAACTGATATCGGCAAAGGGCAAAACTTTTTGCCTGTAGCATTTCATAGGCATGATGTAGGGCCTCCTGAAGGAATCCTCGATGTTACTGTGCAGCATAACTAGGCATTATTACCAAATATGGCTCAGAATAAAAGTAGTTGTTGAAAAGTTTGCTCTGTCTTCAAACTATTGGTGATCCAGACAGCCTTTCATGTATGTCAAACATGTTGATGTTGAGAGATACATGTAGAAGTATCAGTGTTGTAGTAAGACCATCACAAGACCAGACACAAGACCAGCCACAAGACTAGATACAAGACCAGGCACAAGACCAGACACAAGACTAGATACAAGACCAGGCACAAGACCAGACACAAGACCAGCCACAAGACCAGCCACAAGACCAGCCACAAGACTAGATACAAGACCAGGCACACGACCAGACACAAGACCAGCCACAAGACTAGGGCCGTTTTCCAGTACTCGACTTGGGCTCCGTCTCAGGCTTCAACTGTTTTTTACTACCCG